ACATAAAAAGAATAGCATAAACAGAACCGGAAACTATAGGCCTGTGTCAATTTAAAGTGTCATGTCCAAACGTTTTGAGCGAATAGCCTATAACCAAAGTAGAGAAATATTTATAGAAAATCCTTACTGCTACGAGTTTCCAACTCTGGATTTTAGATCAAATTTCTCAACTGACACAAGTTATAATCCATACTAACTGATACTTATTCGTATGAGGTGACAATGGAAATCTAAGCTGTATGGTGTTATTTAGATCTTCAAAAGTTTTGATACGTTGACCATAAAATTCTAGCTAGCAAGCTAAAAACTATCGCGAATGGATAGTTACATAACTGAAAATTGGTTCGGTGTTATCTCTGCTGTAGTAAGCCAAATAAACTTATGTGGAGACCATGTCTCAGATGGAAGGAACCCTAAGCTTATTGCATGTGCGGGAAGTAGTCGTAGCATGGCCTCGGATTTTGCGTCCTCTGTTACTTTCTGAGTCTTACTGTTAATGACATGGCAAAGCAGTTAACGTCAAGCTTTTTTATGCTGCACGCATTCGCCTTAGTAGTTCAGCGACAGAGGTACAGGCGTAGACAGAAAGAATAAGTAGAGAATTGCAGACTCCATTCCCCAAATGGCCTCACATCGATATAATTTATCCTTGCATCTTGCCCTCAGCACCCGTGCGCCGGCAGCCCGGTCCCCCCCGGCCGGGGTGGGTAGGAAAACCAACACGAGTTACTCCTATGTTGGAGAACTGGGCGTAAAACAAACCGTCCCAGGGGGGTTGTGTTTTGTGGAATAGATCCGATCGAGTAATATCACAGCATAATCACACTAAAATTAGTGCAAAATCAAGGGTAAGATCAGAGCAAAATCACAGTAGGATCAGTAGATTGCATGGGTGAGAGGGAAGGGACCACCCACCACACGTCTGAGTGAATTTTTCGATTGTTGAGAGACGACACACGTTCGTTTTGCAGTGGTCGACAAGAGTTGCTGAATCACATGGCACATCTGCACGGGTTCAGTCTGGGCCTTCCGGACAATCTAGTTTTCACAGACGAGCTTCTAGACCTGCTCCAAGACAGAGTTACAAAGTAAGTGAACGACATCAGTTACGTAGCGCCGGGAAATTCTAATCAAATTCGCTATTCAATGCGTCATTGTCAAGTTTTGCTGGTTGTCGATTGTCGTCGTTTCAATATGTACTCGTGTTGTATTGAGACAATGTTTAGCGAGGACATACGTGGCACTCAGCATAGTTCAGTCTTTCTGTGCCGTACTGCTGTCAGAGTCTCAACAGGCATGGCTCAAGTATGCAGTGTGACGAGAAAATACCGACTGTAGAGTACCACTTATTTCGGGAAGGTTGATGTCACCTTATGTCGTTTTCCAGGTTGTACTGCCTGTGTTGTGAGAAGGTTTTTAAGGACAGGATGGTGCTGAAAGAACACATGCGCAAGAAGAAACACAAGCAACTCAATCCAAACAATCCAGAATACGACAAATTCTACGTTATCAACTACATGGTGAGGGCATTAACTCAGTGTTACAGATAATACGGGTCTGGACGTTCATGCATGCCTATGTGTATACATACTTGCATGTAGGCATTGCACATATACTCTGTATTATGATAGCTATCTATAGCTTTATTGCTATATTGTAATAGCTGTCTATAGCTTTATTGCTATATTGTGGTGGATATCTATAGCTTTATTGCTATATTGTGATAGCTATCTGTAGTTTACTGCTGTATTAACTATCGGAATGGATATTAGGACTGTGAAATGGTTCGGTGCTTATCTCTCTGGTAGAAGCCAAATAACTGATGTAGGAGGTACCTTCTCTATAAGGACCCTAGCTATTGCATGTGGAGTACCACAAGGCTTGATTTTGGGTCCTCTGTTATTTCTGATTTATGTTAATGACATGGCAAAGGCAGTTAACGTCAAGCTTTTATTATATGCTGACGATTCGGCCTTAGTAGTTACAGGGACAGAGGTATAGGCTATACAGGAAGAATTAAGTAGAGAATTGCACTCCATTTCCCAAATGGCTCAATGATAATAATTTATCCTTGCAACTTGGAAAAACAGAAAGTATTATTTTTGAAACTAAACACAAACTCAAGGATAATCCAAAACTGGACATCAGATGTAATGGGGTGGCAATTGCACATAAAAATACAGTTAAGTATCTAGCAATAGACTTGGAAGACTCCATGAGTGGTGAGGTAACGGGAATTAAGGTTGTAAAAAGGGTTAACAATAGATTGAAATTTCTTTCTAGAAAAGCTAAGTATTTAAACACGGCATGTAAAAGATTACTAGTTTCTGCCCTAATTCAATGTCATTTTGACTATGCAAGCAGTATATGATACAGTAGTCTCACAAAGCTGCACGCAGGCCCGTCGGAAGGAATTTTAAAGTGGTACGTAACGGTTTCAGTGGCGGTCTGGGGGTGAAACCCCCAGCGGGGTTCGAAGGGGCAGACAGGGTGACCAGATTTTAGAAATTTGATTACGGGACCGGAAACGATGTGAGGGAGCGGAGCAATCGAGCGGGGGAGGGTGTGATACCCCCTTTCTCGGTAAGAACTTTTTTTGAATTGGGGGTGCAAATTATGCAATTTAGCACACTTTAAAATGATTTTTTTATCCTTTCATTGTACTGCAGAATAGCAGAAAAGGACAAATTACTCTTCATTAAATAAAAATTAAGGTCAAGCTGCTAACCCTAACCTATAAATAGGAGGTTTCACGGTCAGGTGGCGAGCTTAATTTATCACTTTCTTGAGGATATTATTCTTAAGATTTGCAATTGGATAAAAAGGTTTTGTGGCATATATGCTGTTCTTCGGTTTATGTAATAATGCGTTTTATAATAATGGAAAAAAAGCAAAGTCACTTCGATGTTCGTGTTCTTTCCTGCTACCAGCTTCCCCGCTACCCCGCTACCCCGCTACCAGCTTATTACCCTGGTGATAAGCTTACGATCAGCCTATGATCATAACATTTATCCCCCTCCCACCTTTTCTCTTCTCTTTTCTTCTCCCTCTCCATCTTTCTTATTTTTCCCTCTTTTTTCTTATTTTTTTTTTAGGCTGAAAAGTGGTACGGTCAATCCCGTACCAACCGTAGCGGCTCCGACGGGCCTGGCTGCACGTGTGTCAAAATAAAGCCATTAGATGAAGGTCAATAGGGGTTTTAAAACGTTACATAATCTCGGCCCACAGTATATGCCAGAAAGTTTCATGTTAACGTCAGAAGTCCATAGTTTCAATAAAAGGGAAGGTGAGATGTCTATTTTTAAACCGAGGCTGGGAAGCAGTCGGAAAAACTCTTTTACTTATACTGCAATTGAAGCTTGGAACTCTCTACCACAGTAAGTTAGGATAAATTCTGTTTATTCTAATTTTAAGTATAGTGTTAAGAAATGTCTCATGGAAAAGGTAGAACCACTAGAGGTAGAGGAGTATGATTTTCGCTAAAAGAATTATATTGAAATTAGGCATAAGAAAAGTTTGTATCGTCTTATGAGAATGGTACTACAAATTTGTATATTTCAATAGTTAGTGCTGCTCATAGGGTTTATGTCCCCCAGGGTACTATTGGAAGGTACCCTGGTAACTATCTGATATGGTCAGCATATAATAAAAGCTTGACGTTAACTGCCTTTGCCATGTCATTAACATAAATCAGAAATAACAGAGGACCCAAAATCAAGCCTTGTGGTACTCCACATGCAATAGCTAGGGTCCTTATAGAGAAGGTACCTCCTACATCAGTTATTTGGCTTCTACCAGAGAGATAAGCACCGAACCATTTCACAGTCCTAATATCCATTCCGATAGTTTTTAGCTTGGCTAGTAGAATTTAATGGTATTTTATAGCCTATAGCTGTACATCATGGCTAGCCTTGTCATCCAGTGTAGTGGACACCGACAAGTATGAGAACATAATATAACATGGTTAGGGTTAGGGTTAAGTAGTAGGTATTTTATAAATTCAGAATTTTCTTGTATGATGTTTGTATTATATATGATGGATGATTGTTTAAATAAATAAATAAATAAAATAAAAATAAAACGAGTAGAAAAACATTCACCCGCTTGCCGGCGCCAGTGTCGAAAGTTATGGCCGCGCACATTGAAAGTAATTTGCAATTTAGTGTATAACCTCGTAAGCTCGTAAATGTTAGCCTTCAAAGTCCAAGTGACTATATCGAATACGAAACTATATTATAAAATCTTTTTTTTATTTCTCCTAACCTATTTCGATGTGATCTTTTGCTTTATCAATGTTGTTTTCCTTATCATTTTGTTTGATCATTATCATTTCACATACACAGTGATTTAGTTAACACGGGCAAGTGATGAATAATTCAGGGGTGTGAATGTCCCGCCAAATGGCGGAAATCCGCCGATTTATATTCTAATTTGATGGGTATTCAAATTCGTGTAGATTCGTTGAGAAATTTTAGGGGGGTGAGACAGATACCCGCCAAGTCCGTTGTCAACCCGCCGGTCCCGCCCCTTGCCGCTTTCGCTCGGCCTCAGCCGCTAGCGGCAGCCGGTTCCACAGCGCGGTAGAATTCATGGTACCAAGAGTACATAATAACACCATGGTGTTATTATGTACTCTTGATGGTACGGTGTGACTGTCAAGTGTTTACCATTAAGCATGCATGTGTGTACTGTACTGTATTGCATTCAATCAAGCGCGCGCCGCCGCCCGCGCGTATATACGTGTGTGCCTGTGCGCGTGCTTGCGTGTCTGCCTGCGCGCGTGCGTGCGTGCCTGCGGGCGTGCGTGCGTGCCTGCGGGCGTGCCTGCGCGCGTGCGTACGTGCCTGTGTGTGCCGGTGTGCCTGCGCGCGTGCATGTGTGCGCGTGCGTGCGTGCCTGCATGCGTGCGTACGTGCCTGTGTGTGCCGGTGTGCCTGCGCGCGTGCATGTGTGCGCGTGCGTGCGTGCCTGCGCGCGTGCATACGTGCCTGTGTGTGCCGGTGTGCCTGCGCGCGTGCATGTGTGCGCGTGCGTGCGTGCCTGCGCGCGTGCATACGTGCCTGTGTGTGCCGGTGTGCCTG